CTATTTATCAGCCTTATTTTGTTGTTACATAGCCTGTAATGCAGAGAGAAAATTTGAACTCTTATTCAAATTTAAACTTGTGCCTCTTTGCTAAATTTACTCTGTCAATCCTACCCACTAAGTGACTATGTTAAAGGGATGGCAAATAGGTTTGGTTTTGTTTTCTTGTCTCATGGCAACTTTGATCAATGGGTAATAGCTGCCTAGAGCTCTGTATTGAAATTGATAATAAGACCTTCAATGGGCTTGGAGGAAAAATATGCTGTGATTGATTCCTAAGTTCTGTCATGGGCATAGTGCTGTGATTGATTATTGATATCAGTTGTGGGGGTAGATTAGACAGAATATATAGGATGTTTATTGTGAGTTTCTTCACACCAAATCAGAGACTTCTTACAAACGACCCACATTGGTTGGGGAATTAAGACTTGATACACTTACGTGCCTTAAGTGAGTGGTTAAGTTAATTCTATAGGGTTAGAAAAGGGGGAGTTTAGGTATGAAGGTAAAGATAAATTTTATGGAAGAGTTGACAGGAAACAAACCTGGGACCACTCAGTCCACAGGCTGACACTCTACCCACTGAGCCAAATCGGTTTCAGGTTAGGTCTTATAAGGAGACCCTGGATCATAACAGTCAGCAGAGACTGCTAGTGAGCTGCTAGTGCCTCAGGAACAGCTTGTACCTCTGGAGCCGCCCAGATAAAATGTAGGCATCACATACACAAGGAGAAACAGGTGACATTGATTTTAATAATATATTTTATTTAACTCAATATATCCAAATACTAAAAATTTATTAATGAATAGATTCTTGGTAATAAGTCTGACAGTCGGTGTATATTTTATTGCAGCATATCTTGATGGGAACCAATAACACTTTAGGTGCTCAGTAGCCACAGTGGCTAGTACTTACCATATGGGAATGTGTCAGTCTAAACTACAACTCTTGTTCATAAAGTTTTAACACAGTTAATGAGGTTTTCAGCAGTTTTTCCAAACTCTATTCTGTGAACAAAGTTGTATTCGCAATATTTTTTAATCTAAAAATTATCTCTATAAATAGCATGTAAGAAAAAATATTAATTCATTACTTAAAAATAATAGTTTAAATTATTAATGATATTGTTAAATAAAAGACATTGTTATTGTTTCCTGTTATCATTAGGAAGGCAAAGTTATTAAGCAGAGAATAGTAATCGCTCCTATGACTTGTACTCTCTCTCCCTTTACTATTTTTCTCATTGTGACACAATATACATAATATAAAATTTACCATTTTTGTATACAATTCAGTGGCACTAAGTACTTTCACGGGTTGTGCTACTATCACTGTCATCTATCTCCATAGCCTTGTCCTCCCCTTACATTGAAACTCTGTACCAGTTAACCAATAACTCCCCTCTTCCCAGGCCCTGGCAACCACTATTCTACTTAGTCTCTATGGATTTGACTACTCTAGGTTCCTCATAAAAGTGGAATCACACAGTATTTGTTTTTTATTATATGACTTATTTCACTTAGCACAATACCCTCAAGGTTCATCTATAGTATAACATATCTCAGAATGTCCTTCCTTTTTAAGGCTGTGTAATACCCCATTTTATGGGTACCATATTTTCCGGCGTATAAGATGACTTTTGAACCGAAAAAAAGCCTGCTCAGATTGGCCAGAGTCAGAGAGGCGGTCTATTAAAAAAAGAACTGGTGTTGCCTCGGAAGTGGGGGGTAGTCTTATACAGCGAATATAGGCCTAAACCTATGTTTTAACTGTAAAATTAGGGGGGGTCATGTTATACGCCAGAAAATATGGTATGTCACGTTTTGTTTATCCATCCATCCATTTTTGGATATTTTGGTTGCTTCCATCTTTGTGCTTTGAATAATGCTGTTATGAACATGGGTATAAATATCTGCTGGAGTCCTTGCTTTCAATTCTTTTATTCCAGAAGTGGAATTCTAAATCATATGGTAATTCTATTTTTTAACTTTTGAGGAACTTCCATAGTGTCTATACCATTTTACATGCCTACCAGAATGCACAAGGGTTCTAATCGCTCTACACTTTTTTCCTGTTTATTTATAATAGCTGTTCTAATGCATATAAAGTGGTATCTTATTGTGATTTTTATTTGCATTTTCCTAATGATTGGTAATGCTAAGCATCTTTTCATGTGCGTATGGTACATTTGTGTATCTTCTTTGGAGAAATATCTATTCCAAGTCATTTGCTCATTAAAAAAACAAAAGACGTGTTTTTATTGACTTTAAAGAGAGAGGAAGAGAGAGGGTTAGAGAGATCGAAACTCCAATGAGAAAGAAACATTGATCGGCTGCCTCCTGTATGCTCCCCACTGAGGATGGAGCCCGCAACCCGGGCATGTTCCCTGATTGGGAATTGAACTGGGGACCTCTCGGTTCATGGGTTAATTCTCAATCGCTGAGCCACACTGGCTGGGCTTTTGCCCATTTTTCAATTGAGCTGTTTGTTTTGTTGTTGTTGAATTGTAAGAGTTCTTTGTATATGCTCGATATTAACCCCTTTTCAGGTATATGATTTGCAAATATTTTCTCTCTTCTGTGGGTTGCCTTTTCACTTATTGATAGTGTCCTTTGATGTTCATAAGTTCAGTACATGAAAGGATGGTCAGAAAAATGTTCCTCCTCATATGCCCCTCAGGTGGTTTGCAGGTAGGGGGTCACTTTGATATCAGAAACCCAAGGTTCAAAACCAGTTACTGCCACTTACCAGGTGGGTGGCCTGGGGCAAGTTACTTGCTAAATTTCCTGTGTGCCATTTCTTCCTATGTGAAAATGAAGATTTGATAATATTCTCCACCCAGAATTTGAGGAATGGTGGTGGTTAGAAATTAAAATATACATTAAATATAACTAAAATTTTTAGTAAGTAATCATTATTTTAACAAAACAGTGAAGAAGGTGGTATCTGCTTTTCAATTGGGCAGCACAAGGCCAGGTTTTGACATTTATTAGCTCTCTTCCATACTGGTATTTGCCGTGAATAAACACTGTTCTTTGTAGATATATGCTCGATCTTAACCCCTCCCTTTTCAGGCATATGATTTGCAAATATTTTCTCTCTTCCGTGGGTTGCCTTTTCACTTCCAAGTTCAAACACTTGCTGATGATTTGGAGATTAGGCTGTTATTTCTCTACAATCCCATTATTTCCATATTTCTGTTTCCCTGGCCTGAGGTGATGTCATACTCAGCCATCTGCTTCCCCTGTGTCCAAAAGGCACCTCAAATCTTTTCCTGCGAAGCTTCTTCCAGGGCCCAGCAGGGAGGGTCCCCCGAGAGGTGGCAAACCTGGAGGGTGGTTCAAACACCACGCCAAGTGTTGTGACCTTCAAAGAATTTTAGCATAAAAGACCTTCCGGAATAAGCCTTTATGTGCCTCCTTGGCATGGGACAAAGGGACCATTTTAGTTATGACATACAGCAGATCACCAAAGTGGGCGGACATTTCTATTTCAGCAAGAAGCTCTGGAGGGACATATTTATCCTTCTCTTACTTGGTGGGCTCTTTAACTCTTTAACTGTAATGCATTACACTTGTGACACCTGCTTGCTTTTAAGAATATGGACTAGCCAAAACTGGTTTGGCTCAATGGCTAGAGCATCGGCCTGTGGACTGAAGGGTCCCGGGTTTGATTCTGGTCAAGGGCATGTACCTTGGTTGCAGGCACATCCCCAGTAGGGGGTGTGCAAGAGGCAGCTGATCGATGATTCTCTCTCATCGATGTTTCTAACTCTCTATCTCTTTTTCTTCCTCTCTGTAAAAAAATCAATAAAATATAGTAAAAAAAAAGAAAGAAAGAAAGAAAGAAAGAAAGAAAGAAAGAAAGAAAGAAAGAAAGAAAGAAAGAAAGAGAGAGAGAAAGAGAGAAAGAGAGAAAGAGAGAAAGAGAGAAAGAAAGAAAGAAAGAGCATGGGCTACTCATACCATTGGATAGATGAAGTTGATCGTCGGCTAAATTATAGGGGTGGCATGGAGACAGGCAAGACAACTGCATGTGCGTTTAAACTTCAGCTCTGTTATCTCCTGGTTATGTCACCTTGGGCTTGTTGTGTCCTCTATAAGCCTCCACTTCATCATCTGTACAATAGGAATAAGAGGAGAACCAATTTTATGTGGTCAGTTTGAGAATTCAATTAATAATGAGGTAGTTATGTAAAGTCCCTTAGCACCATGCCTGGCTGGTAACAAGAGCCTGGTAAATGTTAGCTATTGTATCATCATCATTATCATCATCATCATCATGCTATCACTACTTGGTTGACTTTCAAGTAGTGACAGCAAATACTGAAGGCATCCCCCTCCTTTACCTGGCTTTAACTTCACTATGCATACTTCCTCTTCCCACCCCACCACACATTAATGTCTTTTCTCTCCCGCCCAATCCTGGAGGGCCCTGACTTTCAGCAAGATGTTCAAGGAGCTGGAGTTGGGTAAGAACCCAGGGAAAGACACTAGAAGCCATAACTTACATAAAGTAGTCACAAGGACATAAAGGACAGCATAGGGAATTTAGACAGTAATCCTACAAAATAAAATCTGAATGGGAGAAGGATGTTGGGGGGAGGAGGGCCGGGAGCAGGCAGTGCCAGGCCAGTCAAGGCGGGTGCCAGCGGGCAGAGGTAGGGGACTGTGATGTGGGTGTGTGTGTGGGGGGAGAGACAGTGACCAGCAGTGGCGGAGGGGTGCTTGCCAGCTGGTGCCATCCCCTGACTGGCCCACTCGGGCGCCTCCTTCAGAGGGAGGCCAGATTGCAGGTTAGACCCACTTCCTATGGAGAGCGGACCTAGCTGTCAGTCAGACATCCCCTGAGGGCTCCTGGACTGTGAGAGGGCACAGGCTGGACTGAGGGACCCTCTGACTCCCGAATGCACACATTTTTGTGCACCAGGCCTCTAGTGTTGTAATAACTATGTATAGTGCCAGGTGGGTACTAGCAATATCAGAACATTTTGTAAAGTCTATGACTGTCTAACCACCACTGTGGTTGCCCCATCTGAAACTAATCTATAATAATAAAAGGGTAATATGCTAATTAGGCCAGAGATCCTTCCTTTTGGACAAAGCTGCAGCGGGCGGGGGCTGAGGCAGAGGCGGCAGAGGTGGCAGAGGCCCCCAGCTGCGGCCAAGGTCCTTGCATGAATTTCGTGCATCGGGCCTCTAGTACAAAATAATATTGAATGAAAAATAATATTTTTAAGAAACGAGTTAAAAAACCAAAGGTATATTGCTTTATAAAAGTCAGACAGAAAGGAAGATGCACTCTCTCTGGCCAAACAGTGCTTGTCAGTTAGCATTCAAAGTAACAAGTCTGGCCCTAGCTGGGTAGCTCAGTTGGTTAGAGTATCTTCCTATACACCAAGGTTTCGGGTTCAATCCCTGGTCATGGCACATACAAGAATCAACCAATGAATGCATAAATAAGTGAACAACAAATCTATGTTTCTCTCCCTCCCTCTGTCCCACCCCTTCTTTCTCTCTCTTCCTCTCAAATCAGTAAATTAAAGTAAAACATTTATTTTTTTTAAAAAAGTAAAAAGTCTGTCCCATAAAATTCAACTCTTCATAAAGACATTTGCTAGGTAAAGGAAAGAGATATGCATGTGTTAAAAGATGACGACAGCCCTAGCTGGTTTGACTCAGGGGATAGAGCGTCAGCCTGCAGACTGGAGGGTCTCAGGTTTGATTCTTGCCAAGGGCATATGCCCGGGTTGTGGGCTTGATCTCCAGTAAGGGGTGTGCAGGAGGCAGCTGATCAATGATTCTCTCTCATCATTGATGTTTCTATCTCTCTATCCCTCTCCCTTCCTCTCTGAAATCAATATAATAACAAAAGTACCTGGCAATGACTTGCTGTTGGAACTGTCATTTACATAATCTGTATTTTTACTTACAGATATCCCTGGTATAGCTTTAATCTTGGGAAACAAAGGAGGTGGCTCCTTTAGAACTGCCACACAAATCCATGGGCACCACCGCGGCCAACCCTGTGGAACTCTCTCTTTTTCTCCACGTTATAAGTCTCAAATAGCTTTGAGCATCATCACCCTCCTATTTATTGTCCGGAGAATGCGTGAGCCATTGGGCAGCGTGTCTGGTGTCCTTATTCATAGGTTGGCCCTTGCCTCCAGCTGAAGCAGCCTGAGTGGAGGTTTCAAATGTGTCATGAGGTTTCCCAGCCAAATTCCTCCAGCACCAGCTTGAAAACTGGCTATAAAAATAGCCCTCGCCAAGGGAGGCTGACTGTGACCACCATTTCCTATCTGGGAGCAGGAACAAGAGGACTGCTGTTTTCCTTCTTCTTAAATCTGCTGTAATGTCTCTCTGATGTGGATCTGCTTTTAAGATTGTGTGTTACAGTCACTCTTGGACTCAGATCTCTTGCTGGAGGGAGAAGTTCCTCCTTGCTAACTGGGGTTAATCCAGTGCCAGGTCTGGGGATTAAAGGGAACAAAAGAGAGAACCTTATCTTTTGTTTATTAGGATATAAATTTGAATATTTATCTAGGAAATTTGAAATATCTATCTAGGAAAATCCCGGTGGTTAAGGACTCTGGGTGCCAGAGTCTTTCAGAAGTTAAGAAAGGCTCAAGTCAACTCGCAGCGTTTGAGGCTCTGAGTATGTTAAAATTGTAAGAAATAGCAGACAGGGCACAACATGGATGGTATATTTTAAGAACTTTCCTTTATATAATTGAGAACTTTTAACACAAGGGGGGAAAACCACAATGCAATATAAGGATCTACTCACCAGGTAATAATATCTTTATTATGAAAGGTTCATGCAGAGCCTCTACAGGTGTGTGGGCCAATAAGGGAGACACAATTTTTAAAATCCAGACTTCTTTCCTGTCACCGTGCCTTTCCTGGGACTCCGTATAACCTCATTAGGCAATAATGTCAAAGGTCTAAATCCTGAGACCTTTGATGAGTGTGAGGTCGGGACCAAATGTCCTTCTGTCCCTGCCTGCGACAGTCATTGCCTACGACCAGCAGGTGACCTTGGGCAGGCTGCTCAGTTCCTCCTGGCATCAGAGACACCTAGCTCCGAGTGTGATTTTGGAGAATTCCATGAAGTAGCCCACACAGATCATTTGGCTCACTGCTTGGCATTAGTAAATGCTCAATAAATATTAGCTAGAGTTAGTCACTATTATTGGAGTTAAGACTCAAGCCTTGGCCAAAGTTTATTTCATTGGTCTATGTGGGTCAGTGCCACACCCTGTGAGTATTCATTCTTTGTCCATTCATTCAACACATATATACTGAATGCCTAATTTTAGTTGAATTTTTTTTTATAACTCCTACTTCTTTATTAGAAAACTAGCAATAATCAGAAAAAAAGGTCACCCATGATCTCACTTATCATAGGACACCAATATTAGGTAAATTTAATATATTTTCTTCCAAACCTTTTTCCTATGAAACTTCCCCCTCCTATTTTTAACTCAATTGAGGTACTAGCACACGTTCATTTCTAAATCTCATGCTTTTCTTTTTAATAAATTAACATGATATTTCCCTGATTTCATTAAAACTTCTTCATACATATAACTTTTAATGGTTGCATAAAATTCTAACTATGACTGTACTATCTCCTAAATAGTTTCCTATTGCTGGATCTTTTTTTTTTTTTCTATTAATAAGTAAAATGGAGATTAACACGTTTGTATTAACCTTAGTCTATATTTCCACTCATTCCCATTTCATTCCTCCCATTAACTGTGGTGTTTGAGTGCCTCCTCTGGGTCAGGTTGCTGTGCTATATACTGGGGATCCAAAGGATAGAGGTGGGACAGGTGTGGACTTTGCTTTCACAGACAGAGCTCATTTCCTAAGGGTGTGACAGATAAATGGAGTGGGGGGACCTTGTACTTGTAAATGGCAGTGAGCGTTACCAATGAAAGGAGTAGGGTGTGTAGCAGAGTACCTGGAAAGGGTACTGGCCAGCTTTTTGAGGCTGGAAGGTCTGGGAAAAACCTCTTAGAAGAATTAAGATGAGCCATGGAAAGCTGCCAGAAGCAGGGTGAGAAAGGATTGGCACACACACAATCCTGTGAGTGCCTCCTTGAATTTGGCACCAGAAGAGCTTCACTCGCTTTCACCCAGTCAAAATGAATGACAAAGACTTCAACCTGGACAGGAATTGGGAGGTCTTGGAGGAGAAGCTCACACACCCATGATGGTTTCAAAAGCACTACAGGAAGAACTCTGGTTACTGCAGCACGGCTGCCAGCAACTTCCTCTTCCCCGCTATTAAAGAACCACTTCTCCTTCTGTTTCCCAGGACTTGAATGTGGCTTGCTATAGCTAAGCATGCTGGATTGCAATCTACTACACGCCTTACCCCTAAAATCCTTTTTTGCTGAAGGAATATTTTGGCTGACTTTTTGTTGGCAGTCAACACAACTCCGATGGAAAAAAAAAAAAAAAAAAAAGTAGGAAAGGCATTCCAGGCAGAGGGAACAGCAAGTGCTAAAGCCCAGAGGCTCTGGCTTGGTGTGTTTCAGGAACAGAAAAGTGGTCCCTATGGAGTAGAATAGAAAGTGCTAATGAAACCAGTGAAGCAGAACCACCAAAAGAAATGGGGGGAAATTTTTTTTTTTTTTAAGATTTGAGATTTGATCATATTTGATATATACATTTTAAAGTATCCAAGTAGTTGTTACCATAGGAAAAACTGGGCTTTTGACTCTTTTTTTCTCTCTCAATGGTTTAGAATTTTCTTTGTGACCCACACTTGCTTGGATTTGAGGTTGGGGGAGGCATGGATATCATTTTCAGTGGTGTTTCTAAACCTTGGCTGCACAATAGAATCCCCTGTGGAAGTCTTAAAAAATACTGATGCCTGGACCCACCCAGAGAGATTCGAGTGGACTGGGGTGCAGCCTAGGCATAGTGAAGATAAAATTGAGACCCACCTTTAAGATCCTGATCTGGATATGAGCTGCTGTGGAATATTTGCAATGTAAAAGGTACCAGCTTTCATAGGCTCTTGTAGGCTCTTGGTAGTGACAAGTCTGAATTTTACTCTGAGAAGAATGGAAAGCCATTGATGGGTTTAAAGTAGGATGGCAACATGATCTGATTTTTATTTTAAGAAAATCACTCGGGCTGCAGTGTGGCAAATTTTCTTAGGGTAGATTCCCAGAGGTGGAATTAGTGGGGGAAAGAGTATTAATAATGTTAAGTCTTTGGATACCTGCTGTTAAATTGCTTTCCAGGAAGTTGTGCCAAATGACACCTATCTTCGTTGTCCTTACACCATCCCTTTGCCAACACTGAGTGTTTTTAATGATTTCTGTGGGAGAAGTACAAAAAAGCAATGATAAATAAGAAGCAATTGTTTGAGCAACCTGCCAGTGACTCCCCCCCCCCCCCCCCCCCCGCCCTTCATTGGTCAAATATTATCCAAATAACCATGCGTTTCACAGAAATTGTAGATCTGATATTTAGCTATCATTTATTGAATGTTTATTGTGTGGCAGGCACTATGCAAAGAACTTTACGGGCAATCGTCTATTAATCCTTAAGAGATTGACAGTACTGTTATCATCTCCATTTTACAGATGAAAAACTGGAGCACTGAGAGGCGGGAGGTTGCTGACACTTCCTCAGTTTTTAAGTGAAGGGCTTGGAATTTGAACCCAGAGTCCTTCCTCAAATTACTCTGCTGTTGTTTTTTAATTTGGAAAGGTTAGAAAACTCCTGGAATTTTTCTCAGGGGTCTAAAGTTCTAGTTATTCTGCTGCAAATCATTTTAGAACATGAGTAATGACATAATTTGTACACTGTATCATTACTGCAATCAACTATTTAAGGAAGTATATACAAGCTTTATCGGCCACATCAGCTATTTGCTCATGGGTCTGAGAATCCCAAAGAGGAGGGAAGCATCTACTCAGCTGGTGCATAAAAAGTAAAGGGTCTGAGGAAAACAGGTCCAAGCACATTTGGAATTTAAAATTAAGAAAAGGCTTTGGGAGAGGGGGACACTGTAGTCAGAATGCAAGACAGACTTGAAGGGTGGTAGAGAGAGGGCAAAACTAAATATTTCAGGCATTTCTTATAATAAACCTATCTTTCTGAGCCTTACTTCCAGAGTTCTTTTGAGGACAGGGATTAAGTCTTGACCACTGTCCATGTTCCCAACTACTTGGTTAACAGATATGCTCAGTGAATTTGGCTGAATGTTGAATGAAAGTATAAATCATGACTAGATTGTATACTTAAACCATACTTGAGGATAATATATTCCTTATTGCTTATGTAATGAAACATTAACCACAAACATACA